GAACAAAATTTGGCTTGAGGTAACTGAATAATAAGTGCTGCAATATCAGGTGTGTTTGAAATGCAAAAAAAGATAAATAGGACATAATAGATTAACAAAAACATGCAAGCACAGTTGCTGCTTTACAAATGAACAAAACAAGCCTCCGCTTGCCGGAACGAGTTTTGTTTTGTAATTTTGCGTCACTCTTGTAGCAACCGGATGCCTTGATGAGCACGAAAGACGTACACGCAGCTGTTTGAACAGCCAGAAACAGGGAGCAGCGTTTGGAACAATGACGGTCAAAACGGCGCTGACTGATAATGTCACGTTCAAGGCACATACAAACCCATAAAGTGGATAGGAGATGGCCGCCATGGTAGCTTAGTTGGTAGAGTGTTGGGCGCGTTATTCGAAGGTCGCATGTTTGGTCTATGTTCATGGCAAGTTATCCTTTCATCCACTTCAATTTACATTACACTTACTTTTAATAACGTTCTCTATACTTTAATTGGCATGACTGTCTGTTAGATCTCATTAATATTGTTTATATCAAAAAGTATAGTAGCACGCAAATCTAGAAAGTCATATTTCACCAAATTTTTTTAATATTTTGCCCCGAAAGGAATATATAATCAAGAGGAACGCATCTGTAGTACAGTACTGATTAATGTTGACAACTCTGTCATTTGTATTTTTTTCAGCTCCCGCTTTATCGTCTCAAAACATCAGGCAATGTATGTGGACAACACATTTGCAATGCCTCATGCTCGCCCTCAGTATTACAAAACAAAGCAGCATTTCGAAAAAGGCATCAAATATGAATATCATATGTAGATAGATGGATGAAACAATACCACAGTTAGATTTAGAAAGAGGTGGCCATATTTTAGGAATGCTTTTATTGCCTCGCAGGTACATAACATGCATGAAAAACAAGGATGGTGGGATAAAATATGCATTGAGGCTGCTTGACTGGTTCCACTTTCTTGTACAATAACAGCGGCGACCTGACAAGAATTCCCAATTTCAAAGTCAATGACGGTCGATGAAATTGACTCAGGTATACTTATGACACAAGCATTGGCTGTTTTTGTTGAGACTGATTCAGAATAAAAAGAAGATTTGGGACATACTTATGGGGATGCGCCTATGAATGAATTAGATGGCCACAGGGTCAGGAAAATACTGCGAAATTATGTGCTTTTATTTTAACAGCATGGAAGTAGAACCTGAAAAAGTGGTGATCATTCGCTCAGATAATGGGCATTAACACATTGTAATATATTAGTCTTTCTATAGTTTCCCTTAGGTCTCATTTGCTCACCCTTCTCAATCCGAAGTAAATACATGGGAACAAAATATGTTTGGTTCAATATTAGTGCATGTTATTTTAGAAGAAATTAATTACTTTGACTACTTTTAAAGCAAATAATAATATTACTGAAGTTGGGAAAGCAGTAAAATACTAAACCATAAAGCTTGCAAATACGTAACTTACTGGTGGCATGAACAAGAACTTCACAATGGTGTTAGAAGCACTCGTGGTCATCTCCTGAACGGCCAGAATTGCCCCATTACATACCAATTTAAAATGCATGAATAATTTTGGAGTACTACGTTTGCGGAGTGTCAAAAACTCTCAGATGGTTTATCCCGTATCACATTTCAGCAACGGTTACATACTCCAAGCCTTACTATTTGCGCCTACCATTTAAACACAACTTCTTGAACTAGTTCATAGTGGTTTTCCTAAACGATATTTTTTTTCTTGCGTATCGCTTGCATTCAAATAAATAAATAATAATCAGCTCTGATGTACAGCTTCTCGTTCAGAAATGGTTCGTGAATAGAAGAATGTTCATTTCATAAAAAAGGAAAAAAAACATAGCTGATGATTCTGTCACAGGAATGAATTTAACACGAAAGTTAAGCACGCCTTCACATAAGAAGCAGAGCGTTCATTGTGTATTGTCTCGCCACAAGGGCGAATGAATGAATACTATAGCCACAAGCTGTAATGTCACGCGAAGAGTGGCGAGCTGCTCCAAACATGCTAACGCGCTGCTCATAAGAGAGGACTCACGGAAACAACAGTACACGGAATAAGCGCGAACTAACAACTGTCACAGCTGGACACTTGAAGCACACTGCTCAAACGCAGAGCAGGAGGACGCACGAAACGAATGCACAGGCATACACAGGAAGAATGCGAAGTAATAAATGTCACAGTTGTAGCTTATTCATGTGAGCTGTGCGCTTCTTGGAAAAAAACTCCCAAGCATTTCCCCGAGGGTGAACATGGTTAAGTGCGAATACACGGGGTGATGCTATGAGGGGTATTTATTAATTCGCACTATTATATTTATTAATCACACTATGGTGCCTTTATGGTGTAATGGTTCCTGGGAATCGCAATTTGATCACACGGGGGAGTTTACGTTAACTCACTGGCGAATGCCAACGGATTTTAACTTTACTCCCCATCACGACCCGCTCTCGACGGGAGACTGAGAGAGAAGGCGGGCGCGAGAGAGAGAGGGGTGCGTGCGCAGCTGCAGCGAGCGAAGAGAGCGGAGGAGCGAGCGAAGGGGGAGGGGTACGCGCGCAGCGGCGTTCAAGATATATCGTTACTGACACCGATATCAGCGTCGCGTCCGTGGCTTATTCGGTAGAGCGTCGCGCTGTGGCCCGCCAAGTCCTCTTTCTTTTAAAGATAGAGAGAAGACTGCGGACGCCGCCGACGGTGGTGGATGGTTTGGGGTCGCTTATAAAGTGTATTCACACTTAAAAGAGGGCGCTGCATTGAGCGACCTAAGTGCTGTCTCCAAGTTGCGGTCAGAGCACGTGACGTACCAACCGCGCTGTCATCGCGAGATAAGTGCTCGCACGCTCAGCGCGCGGGGTGACCATCTTTAAAGCACGCTCTTTTTCCCTCTTTGAGCTTGTCGCGCCATCTCGCTAACGATTACGAAAATGCACTGAAACCAGCGAGCATGAAGTATTTCCAACAGAAAATGGCGCATATAAATAGCTCGCTGTTAGTATTCTGCAGAACGTGTTCTTAATAGTTAAGTCGTTTCGCACCACACGTTAAGGAGCGAATGGTCGCAGGTTCAACTCCCAGTACTGGAATTTTTTTATTACAGTTTTCATTTAGTCATGTGTTAGTGTATCATTTGCAACCTCATATCAGTGACGGAAATACGTCAGTGTAGCCGTGGTGGACCCTGGCATAAAACATTTTCGTGTTAAGATTTCTATTTTTTTAGTGGCGTTGCACATCGTAGTCGATTTGCACAGTGCTTTGATAAAGCGCTACGGACTAAATTGCTTCATTGCTTCGTAGACGTCATTATAGCCATTCGATTGGCGTACCTATGTGCACAGTATTTTGTTATATGTAACATTGTGACTCTGCTGCATCTATCTTTTCAATGGAGTACACTGCCGATTTCTGTGCAAGCAAACGTGCGGAAGCGTCCACCTGCATGCTTCGGTGGCTGCTTGCAGCTCGTTGAAGAGGGCGAGAGCAACAACAGTATTTTTCGTGCCTTCTAGTGGCGTGCAAGACAACCTGTGATTGGTGATATTGAACCGGCGGCAAGATTGTCACCCCTTCCCCCTTCAAGGCGATTACACAAGAGGCCACGCCGGCCTCTTCCATGTTTCCTTTCATAAAAATTGACGGTGCATGCACATGAGTAAGACCACTGAAAGAATACACTGGGTGCTTCTTCTTGGGCTCAGCGATTTATACACACGAGCAATGAGCAGAGAAAAACTTACATAATTGTTACATTCACTGCATAACCATCTCGTAATGCATCCTCATATAAGCTAAGATGCACAAGATTTCCTTCAGTATAGACGCGCACCTTATAGATGTAAACACAAGCTTACTACTTATCGGTCACGACAAGTGGCGTGCGGAAACATACATACCACGCAGAGGAATGGCGTGTTGGCTATGGCAGTGTAGACATCAGTTCTGCACGCTAGAGATGGAAGTACTGATGAACATTATCGGTTTGTCGTGTTTATGGCGGCCGTAATTGCAATGGTCATCTGGCTACACCAGTTTATGTGAATAACGACATAAGTAGGCCTCTAACGATCATTCCAAGTTTTTTTTGTTTTGAGATGAAACGTACTTTTTGCGTCCGAAAGTGATTTTTACGACGTGCTCAGAGCAAGCGTGTCGTGCATCGACCCGGAAGTGCAGGCAGATTCGTCGGAGCGGGAAATGGGAGCACGGAGTTAAGATAAAACGAAAAAAAAAAAGCAGCGGGCTGTGATGTACGTGACAGAACCTATGGCCATACGCGTAAAAACACTCCTGCACTAGGTGGCGAAAAAATAGATCCGTTTTCTAGGGCACCGTTGCGGTCGACGTAACGCCGCGGTAATCAGATGATGATGATTAAGTAGTGGTAGCTTTCACCGCACATTAGCTTACAAAACGCGAAATAAGGAGAGTATTCAGAACTACAATTAAAAGAGCATATGTTGTGCAAAGATGCGCGACCTAGATGGCAAGAAATGATTTTTTTTCCTTTTAAATAACTCGTTCTTCACGTATTTGAGCGTATCATGTTGCGTGCGTTCTTGCAAGTATACAATAATGCTCCATAACTTCATTCAATGGTCTGAAGTAAATATGCTTCAATACAGTTATCGAGTGTGGGGCAATGTTTCTACGCATATTATCCTGTAGTAACCACTCCGTGTTAAGATATAAAATTAAGTGCATGGAGGTGGTGGAGGCGTCATAGAATCTACTCGAAAAAGGACAGCAAAGAAAGAATAGAGCTCAGATTCTCTCTTTCTCCTTTTTTTTTTTTTTGCCGAGATGATTCTGCGTTGCTCGCACCACCATCGTGTACTACAACCGACTCGCTAGTTTTCCAGATTGATAAGATTTGATTTGATTTGGCGTTCTTTCCTTGCGACTTGCACATCATTAGTTTTTTTTTTCTCCATCTCATACGAGATTGTGGCTTCCTCTGGATGTTGCGCAGATTTCCCTGGACGACCGCAGACGGCTGTACGTGAAGGCCGAGGAAGAGAAGCGGTACGCGGCGTACGGCTCCATCAGCTACCAGATCCGAGAGGCCAACGAGGAGGCATCCAACTTCTTCGACTTCATGGGACGCGCCCTCGCCATCGTGGGCACGTCGGGTCAGTGACATCACGTTTTCTTTTCGCCTTGCTCCAATGTCCCATTCCCTTCGTACTTGGACACTGGCGAGTAGCTGTACAGGGACGGGGACGTCGTATGCCGCACAGAAATGACGGACTGCGACGTTGTTCGGGTGCTCCCCTCTCCCTCTATATTTCTTTCGTTCTCTCTCGCTTGAAACTTCACACTCCTCCATCCCTTTTCACAGGGAAAGGTAGCATACTGGCGATTACAAAGTGGTTCACATCCTTGACTTTCATCTCTCTCCGGTTTGCTTCCATTCTTGCTATCACGCTCAAGTGTCCATGCTTCCTTGAAGTCCGTGGAAAGTATAGTAGTGACACCTTTATGCGCCTAATAATGCTCAACGACTCTCATGAGACACTTTCCGTCTATTTGCTTCTTTATTCTAACGTCAAGAGCAATTACGAGATTTCGCTACCACTACCAGGTTCTGAAACTTCTGAAAATAAACAACTTAGAGTAAACGCTGCCAGAATCGGCTTGATAAGCGCGATCGCAGCCGTAATGAAACGTGGATAGCGGCTGAGGCAAATATATACTTAGCATGAGCATTCGCTTAAACAAAGTTAGGGAAACAGTCGTCAAGTCGGAACAATTGAGGCGACCCGCACGAGAAGAAGATACCGGACAAATTTGTAAATCAACCTAAAGAAGGACAAAGCTCCACCCATAATATCACGCAGAACCTCGCACAGGCTCATGCTTGAGCCTTGCCCCGTGTCCTGCGGGTGTGAATCATACTCATCGCCAGACTATCTCATCTAGCTCCATTTTATTGCCGCAAGTGCTCCTTTCCTTCTAGTTGTAAGTTACCATTCCATTACACGTGTAGTTGCTGCCTTGCGCAGACCAGGATGACTGGGAGCCGTCTAGATCATCCAAGAAGCTTCCGATGAAATTGCGCGCACAACGCAAACGTCAAAGGCTGTTCCAGAATTCACATGGCCGCTAGAGATAACGCTAGAATATTCGATGACACATGTATAAATGCTGACATGCTCCACCACTTGACAGATCATCAACGGCTGATGCTCTGCTCGCATATATCTGGGTACAGCTTGCATTTCTTGCTGCAGTTTATGTTTCCTGGCCACAAGTTTGGCCAAATAAAGAGTTTCATCTTGAACATGCCGACTGCTGTCTTAGTCTATGTCATGACACCATGATAATATTATAATTCCTAGTGTAAGAACGCGTTTAAACATCTTTGACTCACTATACGTCTTTATTATACTTCAATTTCACTATTTATGTGACCTTACTACGGGACATTCTCAAGAAATATTCAATTATATTAAAATCTTTATAATCCTTCCTCAGTTATATTGAGATCTTTATAACCTTCCCGCTAAGCACTGTCTTTTTTCTGCGGTGAGTAGTTTCGTGCATAGATTCCTCTCGAAGGCTTGTATTTCGCTTCGTAGCTTAAATGACTTTTAAAGTGGTGAATTTGGTTACTTTGTTACTGTTTGCGGTATTCACGAATCACTTGGTCAACTTTCGTTTTAGTTCAACGCTGGCAGACCACCTTGTTCCCGTTAGAAAAGCGCACCACAAGAACAAGAAGCGACAGAAATGATAAACGCTCTCTAACCACCATGTCCATCATCGGAGTAAGCACGTTACAGCCACTGCCAAGTTTTCTGGCCGCCCGTCGCGTCCGCGTTAATGCACGCAGTTCTCGTGTGAGAGAAAGTTCATTCACCCTTTAACGTGCAATTGCTTCGCCTGGATCGATGTGCGTCGCCGGGCCATCCACGTTTCCAAACACGAGCGCGCACCGGCACGCACCGTCACCGCCGGAACATGCATGTCTTCGATCATATGCGTGTGCCACTGGAAACTCTTTCGAGGTACTAAAGCTTGCCGAGGGACGGAAGTCGCGCGAAATTCACAATCACTGGCTGTGCTCGGTAAACAGGCTGGCCACAGTCGGCTGCAGCATTAACTTAATGCTGCGTATACCTGTCATTGTTCAAGACAGCAAGAAGTTTCAATTTGAATTGTTTGTGTATTAAGAGGTGTGCGCGTCGATGTAGATTCCCGGGGCCATTCAAGAGTGACGATATACAGCGTGTTTTGGCTATGATTTGACTGTCATATTGTCGTTCTTACGCTTTATACTGCTAACTTTCCTAACATTTGGTGCCGCTGCCGGACTCTCGGTAGTATATGTATTTCTGTCTTTTGAATTAAGGAAAGAGACACCCAGTAGCTTTATGCATTACGGACATGTGAGTGGATTTTGACTGATAACGTCTTACGGGTATGTCCTTACAAAGACGGTAACTTGGTACGTTTTTATCGCATATTTGACGAAAGAGAGAGATAGACATGGTATGGAGAAAGGCAGGGAGGTTAACCAGAAAGCAAGTGTCTGGTTCGCTACCTCCACTGGGGAAGGGGAAATGGGACACAGAAAAGTAAGAAAATGGGAATGAGAGAAGGAGAGTGAGATGAAAGTGGAAACACACAAACACACTTAAACGTCACAAGCGCTCGACGAGGCGCGTCGATCGCAGAAACTTCAGAAGAGCCTTCATCGCTTTTTGGTGTGAAGCTCGATCATTCCGGTATTCCAAAATTAATTTTTCGGAAAGCGGCTGGTCATTGAGGCATGCAAACACTGCTGACAGGGTCTGTCTCTGACAGTTCTACTGACACAAAATATGTTGGATGCTTTTGTCAGCGCCGCTATGATCACACGCAGCACTGTCTGCCCATCCGATGCGGCAAGCAAAGCCGTCCGTAAAAGACACCCTAAGCCACATGCGACAGAGCATGTTTGTCTCAGATCTGGATAAGCCTGATGGAATGGAAAGTCCTAGGTGTGGGTTCAGACGGTGTAGACGGGTGTGTAGAAATCCGGGCGTGTCCCACAGAGACCTGCATGGTGACATCGTGCGCCTGCGTATTAATCCTTGCTGCTGCGTCGCTTCTTGACAGTGGAATGAGATCCATCATGCCGTTTTCGTGAGCGTGCTTTGCTACAGCGTCAGTATGCTCGTTATAGATGATTCCGCAGTGGCCTGGTAACCATTGAAAAGTTGCATCATCTCCTTTCTGTAGTGCACTTGCTGATACAATTGTCTTGTTTCGTGCACCGAATGGTCTTGAGGTCTACGACGTAGCGCAGTTAGAATACAGTACAGAGCTGGTTTCTAATCGGTGAAAATTCACCATTTGAGATACAATTCTTGATAAATCCTGCGGAGTGCACAGCGGAGTGCTGCATACTCTGTGACTGTCGATGTTTTGTGAGACGTTCGAAATACGATTGTTTCGGCTTTTGACGAACTTTGTTGACGAAAGAATAGCCTCTTTCTGAAAGGTGAGAGAAGTTCGAACTTTAAGTAAAAACTGGGCTAAGTAGTGCAACGTTATTGTGGGGCTGGTGCCATGCATCTTTGTTTTGTCATGCAACGAAGATGCCGTTTGAGCATCTTCGTTGTATATCTCAGGTATTGTTATACTTAATTAAATCATCCAATGTGAGGATGAGCTCGTTGACAATTTTTCGTACATGGAGCGAAAGGTACCCAGCTCTGCCACGTATCGTTCGTAATTTTTGGTACTTGTCGCCTTTGCAGATATTCGCAGGGTATGGAAGTGGTCAAGTAATTTGCAAAACTAGAGCGCCAGCATAGTGACAGGCACACACTGCCGTACTCTGTGTCACCATGCACCATACTGCATCAAGTGTTCATAACTGCATGCTTTTTTTCCTGAGCGAAACAGAATAGCCAGAAGCATTTATCGCTTTCACCAAACTAGCCAAAACTGATGCAAAACTTCGCAATCCTAAGGATCCCCAAAGCCGTCGTACTGCGTTTGCGTCATTCCTGACCCATTTTTTAAATGCGAAGCATTTCTTAGCAAACTTCGGTGACTTTGAGCATATCTATCTATCTATCTATCTATCTATCTATCTATCTATCTATCTATCTATCTATCTATCTATCTATCTATCTATCTATCTATCTATCTATCTATCTATCTATCTATCTATCTATCTATCTATCTATCTATCTATCTATCTATCTATCTATCTATCTATCTATCTATCTATCTATCTATCTATCTATCTATCTATCTATCTATCTATCTATCTATCTATCTATCTATCTATCTATCTATCTATCTATCTATCTGTCTATCTGTCTGTCTGTCTGTCTGTCTGTCTGTCTGTCTGTCTGTCTGTCTGTCTGTCTGTCTGTCTGTCTGTCTGTCTGTCTGTCTGTCTGTCTATCTATCTATCTATCTATCTATCTATCTATCTATCTATCTATCTATCTATCTATCTATCTATCTATCTATCTATCTATCTATCTATCTATCTATCTATCTATCTATCTATCTATCTATCTATCTATCTATCTATCTATCTATCTATCTATCTATCTATCTAATCTTAGCTGCCTACGACTTATAGCTCTCCTGGCCATTTCGATAATGGTATCAATACGAAACTTTGTATGGCATAACATGACTGTATGAAGAACATATTTGACTAGTCAAAACATGGAACTCATGACATATATGTCATTACTGTCATGATTCACATTTCATGGTTTTGCTGCTCTTGCGGTGGTTTTGTTCACATGACATGTTGCAAAACTGGTATGGCACGACGTGACTGCATGGCGAACACAAGCGACAGACCCTAACAAGAAAATTATGATATGCGTGTCGTGTAACAACATGACTACATGCCACGCTCATGATGCGCTCGCGGCCGTTTCGCTAGCGTCACATATACCAAATTTGGTATTGCAGTACGTGAATGGACGACAAAGGTATGTGACTGGTGCAAGCATGATAATCATGAGATGCGTGTCACGTGAAAACATGACTACATGCCATAGTCAAGGCACCAATACATTTCGACGTGACGTGGTGCGAGTGCTCACCGGCGCTCATTTCGTCGGGTCACGCCGGCGTTGCCACGCCAGGCACCGGTCCTGCCATAGACTCG